GCGTTTTTCAATAGCTTCAATTTGATATATTGCCCAACGTTCAGTGTTGAGTATTTCTGCTCATAACTCAGAAAAACTAAAATACACTGGCTTCAATTCCCCCCCCCCTGAGTTAGCCTTCCAGTTTATTTATAGTTCAATGACTGTGAGTAGTGATACTGAGTCCGGCTCCCAACTATAAAATTACAACAGTGAACAGCTTTTATAATTAATGGCTTTGTTCATACTGTCTTGTGAACTATATATACTGTTGAGTGTTCAGTGTTGTGATTTATACTAGAGTCCACTACAGTACAGACCACATATTTGGATAAACAAATGGAAAACATACAACTTTGCAAGCTTTAATCTGAATGTACATACCCTAATTTTCCTAGTTTGAAACACAAACTACTAACAACTTGAACAGCTAGCATACCTGTCCTTGTGCTTTACCAAAACCAACATGCCATCAGTTCTTGCATATAATCCTGTTAAAACTTAAAACAGCTAGGCCTAGGGCACTGTCTATGTAAAACAGCAAACGTTTAGACAATCTATTGAAATTCTTTGACTTTCAACCTCGCGAATACTACGCACGGGTTTGCTTCGCAAATACATAATGAATAACTGCATTCACACGACTCATTGACTCGTCATATAACACAAAAGAAAATTTGACCTCCGGAGATTAGATTGAAATTTCCTTTGTTTTTAGCCTTAATAAGGGGCTTAATTAATACAGCTAGGGGTATACAAAAAAGCGAAATATGCGGCACAGTACAGTTGTGTCCCCAAACTATTAAAATACCGTATTGTTGGAATTTGAATGCCCTAGCACTAAGATAAACGCAAAGATGCGTAAATTATTGACAGGGTTCATATATAATTAAAATATCTTTGTAAAGCGCATGATTTTCTGCTCTTGGCTTGGGAATTTAAAGCAGCTTCTTAAATTAAATTGTTTCGTTATGCATAAAATTTACTTATATCAAGCTTTTTTGCACTTGCGGGTTCACTTAGGCTCTTAGGGGCCGATTACATGGAGCATTTTTTTGTTGAACTCAGCCCTGTTTACTGGGTTGAAATTTCAGCCCTGTCTGTAATACAAAACTCCATCAAAACCAAACGCGCGATTACATGACAATATTTTCAACCCAGGGCTGAAATTTCAACCCCGGGGTTGAAATTTCAACCCTGCTTCAGCTAGCAGCCGGGTTGAAATTTCAACCCCGGGGTTGAACTCAGACCTGGGTTGAAAATTTTGTCATGTAATCGTTTCAACCCAGGGCTGAAATTATCATGAGTTATTCGAGCATACGTGGTAGTGATTATTTATTACAAGAAAACAAAATAAAGGCTTTTTACTTCGGGGAATCGATGCCGAGAACGTATGGTATAGCGTTTCAACCCCGGGGTTGAAATCGTCCATGTAATCGCAAAAGATTTCAACCCGGTTAACAGGGCTGAGTTCAACCCCGCGGTTGAAAGTTCTCCATGTAATCGGCCCCTTAAAAACAGTTTTTATCTAATAAGAAATTTCAGAATTGTTGTATATTTATCCTAAACTACCAGAAAATATTATGAATGTTGAACATTTCGATTGTTAATTCACTTTAGCGGAAAACGAGGAAATGATGAAAGATCTACCAGCTCCTGTGACTTTGGAACACGTGATGTCATCCACTTTTATAAAGAAACATTTCATGGATAGCAATTTAAACAATACATCCTACCATCCCGTAAGTTGTAAAATTTTAATATGATATTGAGTTGTGCTTTATATTGAATATGCTGTTCAACCTGATTTTTGTTATACATGAAATTTTTTCATTGAAACATATTAAGTAATTTTGTTTCCGTCTGCAGATTATCGAAAAACCCGACTTTCACTGTGAAGTAAAGAATTCTGGGTTACAAGCAAATTCAGGTAAACTAAACTGAACTATAAATTATGGATATAGGTCTGTCAGTTTTCGAAACTGTTTTTCCTTTTTTAGGGAGTTCCCATATAGACGTCCAGTATACGGGACATTCTAGGAGGAAACCTAAACTAAACTCACTCATTATTTATACTGGATTAGTGGATAGTTTTTTCGATTAGACAGTGACAATGTTCGCCCAAATTGTAATGGCATTTGTTTTTTCCCTGTCTAGTTCACCAAGTAACCGCAGCAGATATCAGTGTGGTGGCGTCCCTAGGCGACTCTATTATGGTATATAAACAAAAATATTATTATAAAAACATATAATCTTTTACTATATTTCCAGAAAAAGACAAGCGTTTTAGTGTGATGTTCTTTTTTGCATGTAATGACAACTTTTCTCGAAAAGTTTCCCCAATTTGAAACGAGATATCATAACAATCACATGTGATTCTTTTAGATTGGTTTGGGTGCAAGAGGGACAACAATGGTCGATTTCTTCACAGAATACCGTGGGATATCATGGAGGTATTTTTGAACGTTTTTTTGTTTTGATTTCATCCTTATTGATATTGAACTGTTCACTTATATTTTATTGTTGAAAGAAACCATTTATTACTTTTTTGACGTTTTTCTAACTCAAAATAGTGTCGGACTACCATCAGAATAAATTTTCAAACTTCTATCGAGTATCGTATTGTCTTTCAACTCCGCGTAAAATCGAAGGGTCTGTGGCAAAAATACAATACACACGTGACGGTGAAGGACCAGATTTATGAATAAACGTAGACTAACGTAGATAACGAGTTATTGTTATTCTAACGAGATTCACAGCCATTTTCCCTTCGATAGGCTATGGCCGATGTTATTTATATTTTAATGTTGAAACCTCAAAGCCAGAAAATTAAGTTATGTTCATGCATAAAAGTTGAAGCCAGAAAATTAAGTTATGTTCATGCATAAATTATACAATGGATAATTATATGCATTCAGTTTACACTGCCGGGAAAAGCAAGACAAACTTTTTCTGTATAATTTCTCATCTAATTTCATCCGAATCAAAATTTAATCAATTTGTGCTTGGGTAATGTCATATAAGATATCTATGGGTATAGTGTCCATTAGCCCCACAAATTTTCATTTTAATACGTTTGATATTTTGTGAGCTATCGTTTTGACAGACAAACACAAATATACAAATGAAGGAAACAGTGAAGTAAAACACTAATATCTCAGTTATTTTTCAGCAATGGTGGTGACGCAGATTTGCAAGATATTTTGACTCTGCCTAGTAAGTACATGCATGTATATCACTGAGTAAACTATTGATTGAATGATTGTTTAATTGGTCTCTTATTGATTAATTGATTGAAGAGATAATTTGTCGAATCAAGCCTGATTGTGATCAATTATCGCTCAATGGACATTTGCATTATAGACTAAATTTTGATCTAGACAAAAATTTCATCACAGCTTGAAAGAGCATCAGAAAATTAGTAATATTCTGAAGTTTCGTTGCGAAATGTTGTAAAATGCGGATAATATAGCCGTGCGAAGTTTGCCGTTTTTCAGTCATTTTGTATTACGCACGGGAAATTGACAGCCCAATCAGGTGTTGGCGCATCAATTTCCCGTTTGTAATACAAAATGACTGAAAATTGCAAATTTCGCAAGGCTATATTATCCACATTTTGCAACATTTCGCAGCGAAACTTTGGCATATTACTAATTTTGTGATGCTCTTTCAAGCTGTGATGAAATTTTTGTCTAGACCAAAATTTAGTCTATAATGCAAATGGTCCATTACAACACATAATCTATTACATTGATAGAGTATAAGTTTTTACCAAAATAATAGCTTTTTACTAAATGAATGTAAATTTTTTGTCGTTGAAAGATATATTGAAAAAATTCAATCCGAAGCTAAAGGGTTATTCAACGAACATAGCCAGACACTACGAGAAGAACTCAGGTTTAAATTTCGCCACCGTCTCAGCTACTTCCAGGTTTGAAATTTTTTTTATCTTCTAATACAATTATTCGGTTTCATGGTATCAAACCTCAAACCTTGGTGATTATGAAACAATGATCACGATGTATCGCTCTTTTGCAGACATTTAGAAGAACAAGTGCACCAACTTATAACTAAAGTTAAACAAGATAAGGTGAATAGAAAATTTGTACTATACAGTATCGATGTATTGGGCTGCCAAGCGCCGCAGGCATTGAGAGTACGAGAGCATGCTCTTTTGAACTTTTCTTCTGGTTGTTTTAATAGACTATTGATTTTAAAGAAGATTGGAAGCTAGTTAACATTATGTCTGGCACAAGAGATCTTTGCAGGCTGTGTGGAGATATGGTAAATCATTTTAAAAACTTTATTTATACTGGATAGCTCTAAAACAGTTCTAAACTGTTCTCCGTAGAAGCCCAGTAAAGGTCATCTCTTATTGATCCAGTGTTACTGCAGGAGGAAACCTAAACTAAACCACTGCAATTTATAGGATGAAGTCACGCCTGATGATTACATTCGATCACTGGTCAAGACATTGGACACTTTACAGACCAAGGTATTATCATGATAGGAAGGAATCTTTTACATTGTTTGCATAAGCGAGTGAAGAACATAAGTTGATGAGTAATTTTATCCAATTAAGAAATCATTTTGTTTTGTTTAGATGCCAAGAACATTTGTTAATCTTATCCTGCCAATAAATGTCTCTTCACTTTATGCTTTAAACAATCGTGGCCGTTGCATGATGGGAAATTGGTAGGTTATGCACGGCCTATCTTCAAATTGACGCTTCTCAAAATATAACGCGAATGTTAACGTCTGATGACACTTGCATTTTGCAGGTCGATTTGTCCATGTTTAGGAAATGAATTCATGAGAAAAAAGATCTCTAACTTTTACGAAGGATACAAGGTAGAAAACTAGAGCAATTTTTTTAAAATAAACTGTTAAACAATATTAAGTAGTACAGTCAACATACGACTTCATTAGACTAGTATTAATTAGTGCCAATTAATACTGTATTAGTTAATTAATAGTAATTACTATTTAATCAAAAGTCTTAAGGGGCGGATCATTAGATAGTGATGGGAGAGGGGGGACTTTTTTAACTTGTACGAATATTTTTTAAAGTTTTTGCTTGTGTCGATAATTTTTTTAAAATATAATCCCTTGCACGAATTTTTTTATTTCAACATATAATTTTCCCTATTGAAAAGTCTCTGCACGAATTTTTTCCTTTCTGTTTCCCCTGTGCGATTTGTTTGCCCCCCCCCCCACATCACTTTTCTAACGGTCTGCCCCTAACCAATATACAACACAGAAATTCTACTATACATTTATTTTTGACATTTGTATGTTTCATGTTCAGAGTCTTGTGTACGAGTTGATTGGCAGTGGCGTGTATGACAGAGATGAAGATTTTACTGTGGTTCTTCAACCTGTGTTTGAAGATTTACTATTTGATGTTCCTAAGGTATAAAATATGTCCAAGTAAAATTTTTACTGACGCGCATTATGTTTATTGGTAGGTGAGGCCCGAATTTTTTTAATACTCTAAGCCCAACCTCGCAAGCCAGACTCTCTCTACAAGTAGACCTCTATTTCAGTCTAAACTAAAAAATATTACTTTTCTTGTAATTGGTCATGTACTAAAACATTGAACGATTTCGTTTGTTTTCAGTTAACCTTTTTCTTTCTCGTTCATATTTCTACAGGATCGTGATTTATTTTCGCTGGACTGTCTTCATTTCTCTGCGAAAGGAAACGCTTTGGCAGCTACCGCCTTGTGGAACAACATGGTACGTGAACATGTCTAACTACTTGTTTTAAGGCGGTCAAAATGGAGGCGTACCATTACATTGCAGGAATGGCAACAGCATTGCCACTCAAGAAAAGTTCAGATTGAACCTCCACTCATTGAGTGTGAAGGAGCTTTTAGAATACGGGTACTCCTAACCCCATTCGATTGTGAATTTTATTCAATTTCGTCTTTTTTACGTGACTCGGGCGTTTCACTCGGGCTCAGAATTGACTCGGATTTGCCTTGATAGCTGGATTTACTCAATGGCAAACATATACTCTTTGAGCAGTTTAATCGAAATTATTCAAATCCTTATTTTAGTTTGAACCAGTTCACAAGAAGTTGTCAAGATGGCACAAACCGCTGACAATTAAATGTCCCATCGAGGTAACATGAAGTATTATTACACATTTGATGTCGTTTGCACAGATGGTGTGCTTGTTCAGCCGTTCCGCACGTTGTAACCAATAATTTATTGGCGTTGTAATGCCATTGTATGCAATAAAGTATTGGTTACAATGGATTTACAATTAATCCAAACGCTAATCCTAACTCTAACCCTAATCCTAGCCCCTAACCCTAACCCCACCTTCTAACCCCTAACCCCACCTGCTAACTCCGCAACCTAACCGCAAACCCTAACCCCGGCCAGCTACCCCTCCGGTAGCCTGTGCACATCCTGTATTACCCTGTACTACAGTCTGTGAAAACTCACGCGATTGCTTGTCGAGCTACTCAGATCTGAGTAGTAGACTGTCATTGGCTAAAGATAATTAAATTATTTTGATTGCATGCGATTGGTTAATTTCTCATCACTAGTAAAACCTGTTTTTCCAATCAATATAAAATTAATAAGACCACTTAATTTCAACGCGCGAAATTGATTTGTTCTTCAAAATTTCCTATACTCGCTGCTCCAAGACAAGGTAAATTTTATATATTTTTAATCCTGGAGAAATAAGCTATCGGAAAATGTTTAAATCAAGTTTATACGATCAGAAATTTAGAAGTTAGGAGTCAATTTGGCAGCCGCTTGACTAAAATTTAATTGTTTACACTGACACGAAAACAACATTACAAATCTTATGTACAGTAAGCTCATCCAGTTTTTGTTGTAGAGACTTTGTTTACTTATCTTTCGAAAGAAAATCTTCTACGGATTTCAAAACTATATAATGTGTCTCGTGTTAAGATAGAAAATAATTTTTAAATGAAGAAAAGTGAATGGACTTTGCACGTCAGTCGAGACATATTAAATATTTAGTTTAGCATGTAAGCATCAAATTTCGTTGGTAAATTTGGTGAAAACTTGCTCAAAGTTGAGGCTCAAACCTTTACATACTTTATATAATCTGTATCGCTATACAACCAGAAATTTAAAAACGTTTGAATGAAGTACATTGGTTGAGTATTTTAAAAATTATCCAAAGTTTTGTACTGTTGCGCTATATTTACATGCCATGCATGCTGTCATATATGTATTAAAATATTTTGAAATTCTCAGTACAAAACTTTAGATAATTTTTAAAATACTCAACCAATATACTTCATCCAAACATTTTTAAATTCCTGGTTGTATAGCGATACAGATTATATAAAGTATGTAAAGGTTTGAGCCTCAACTTTGAGCAAGTTTTCACCAAATTTCCCGACGAAATTTGATGCTTACATGCTAAACTAAATATTTAATATGTCTCGACTGACGTGCAAAGTCCATTCACTTTTCTTCATTTAAAAATTATTTTCTATCTTAACACGAGACACATTATATAGTTTTGAAATCCGTAGAAGATTTTCTTTCGAAAGATAAGTAAACAAAGTCTCTACAACAAACACTGGATGAGCTTACATAAGATTTGTAATGTTGTTTTCGTGTCAGTGTAAACAATTAAATTGTAGTCAAGCGGCTACCAATTTGACTCCTAACTTCTAAATTTCTGATCGTATAAACTTGATTTAAACATTTTCCGATAGCTTATTTCTCCAGGATTAAAAATATATAAAATTTACCTTGTCTTGGAGCAGCGAGTATAGAAAATTTTGAAGAACAAATCAATTTCGCGCGTTGAAATTAAGTGGTCTTATTAATTTTATATTGATTGGAAAAACAGGTTTTACTAGTGATGAGAAATTAACCAATCGCATGCAATCAAAATAATTTAATTATCTTTAGCCAATGACAGTCTACTACTCAGATCTGAGTAGCTCGACAAGCAATCGCGTGAGTTTTCACAGACTGTAGTACAGGGTAATACAGGATGTGCACAGGCTACCCCTCCGGGGAATTGACAATGTTTTGCGTTGAGTAAATCTGAAATCTCAATCAATTGCAATTTTTTTTCCTCATAGAATTCGCCATATTTGTCTACAAGGACCAACAGTAAAACCGAAGCCAAGTCAAAGCGGGATCAGGACAGCAAATCTGGAATGTCCCCAGCTGTCATCGTCACTGTAACACTTGCCATTATTTTCGCGCTTTCTTTAATTACCGCCTTCGTGTATTTGAAGCACAGACTAAGAACTCCAATCACTAAACTAAAATTTAGCAATAAACCTTGGCTGAAGTACAGTATTTAGCAAAAATGTAAAAATATGTCAGTAGATACTGTAGGATAGCGTAAATCTTCACCCCAATGAACCCCTTTCAAAATACCCCCACTATAGGCCAATTAACAAAGTAACAACATTTTGAGCACCTGGATACCACTTTGTGTGGACGGTAGAATCAATAACTAACGATATTTTGTAATATTAATCATGATTGCAACGCTTCTAAGACAACTATTTGTAAAATTTACGTAAAACACTAAGACAGTCTAATATCAGGTCTAATGACCAACTAGTGAACTCTTAGTTTCAGACAAGATAAATATCTACTTTTTTAAGTTTCCATTTGTAACTATAGTTTTCTAGATGTTTTGATAGACTACATTAAATAAGATATCTACAGTGAAAGCGTCTAAATCTCTATGCTATAGTATACTCGATATTAATTAAATTATATCATTGTCAAGACTCAATACAGGATCCATGCAACCCACTATAGCCACCCACCCACACCACACCCACCCACACCACACCCACCCACACCACACCCACCCATGAACTAACTGGTACTCAAGACACCTACCTACTTAACTACACACTGCCCAATCGCCCCCCCCCCACACTTTTTTACTCAGACATTCAACTATTAAATCACCCACTCATTTACTTACCCCACATACGCATTCGCCTCACCCCAACCCCTCTCCCCAAACACACTCCCCCACCTACTTATTCATCACTTTTGCCTTCTTCTTCGCGGTCTTGGAGTGACTCGGCATCTCCTCCACCATCTTCCATTTGCTGATGGCCATACACAATATTCTGCACAGCATTGAATGCCTCCTGAAAACTGCCAGTAAAAATAAACATCTTTTGCATCATAAAATATTCAAACTTCTCAACGACTGTCATGTTTGTCCAAACACTCGAACTGTTTTTGTGAGCCACTGAAAAACATTAAACATATTTTTAAAGAATTTATGACAAACGTGGTGGTCCATTGTAGGTAGTATTGTACAATAAGCTGCCGTGATTTGTGTCTGAACTACCTGAAAAAGATATCTCAAACGTGGTGGTTCAGTGTAGGTAGTATTCTACAATAAGCTGTCGTAGTTTGTGTCTGAACTACCTGAAAAAGATATCTCAAACGTGGTGGTCCAGTGTAGGTAGTATTCTACAATAAGCTGCCATGGTTTGTGTCTGAACTATACCTGAAAAAGATGTCTCAAACGTGGTGGTCCAGTGTAGGTAGTATTCTACAATAAGCTGCCGTGATTTGTGTCTGAACTACCTGAAAAAGATATCTCAAACGTGGTGGTCCAGTGTAGGTAGAATTCTACAATAAGCTGCCGTGGTTTGTGTCTGAACTACAAAGTATGTGGAAAGTTGAGTAAAAGGAATTGCTTTAAACTTGGGCCGCACAAAAGATCGGTAAAATCCGAGTTTAGTAGATTCTGGGCAACATAGGAGACTTTGCTCGGAGGGATTTCACGGGGGAACATAAATCACTATGACAACTTACTTCTAAGCTGCTGTTCAAGATCTTGCAACGTGACGTTATTAGCCAGGGTCATATTGGTGTATGTGTACATCCAACACGAGGGTACCTGGGACACTGTGTGTACAATATGGGTATCATTACTTTGTACCGTATGAACCTCATTCTTCTCTAACGTCACATTGTGTCCCCCTTGTTCGACGACCACTGTCCCTTCGAGAACCGTGATAGATGCATTCAAATCTTCCTTTACAAAATTCTCAAGATTCAGGCCAGGAAAATCCGCCACAAAAACGACTTCAGTAAAGTTGTTTTTCGACACCTCCTTCTCAATTTCGTCCAGTTTTGTTCGCCAAGGGGAAAGATCAATCATTAATGGTAAAACCCATTTGGTTTTTTGAAACGGAGACCAGGGGGCTTTCACAAGGTCAACTTTAGGATCGAACATGCGTTGTTGGAAACGGCCATTCATAGAGCGCCAAATATCGAAGTTTATCGCGGGATTGCTGATGTTTAGTTCCGCACGATCACGCAGTTTCTGCGCGAGACATGTCGCGTACTGTTTTATCATATCAGGATGCGAAGACCACCGCGCTCTTTTTCTTGATCGCCCTGCAATCCACACCTGAATAAGACGTTTTAGATCAGAACAACTGTTACCGCGATGTGTTAAGCCTAGCTGTTACATATAAGGTTGAGTGTAGGGTCAGTTTCGTAGGTTAAATGACCACATTGCATTGGAGGGAGGGGGGGGGGGGGCATTTGGGCATGCTCAATCAAGATGGCTTAATCATACTGGTACATATTGTACACGCGTAAAAATCGTACAGCTTTTCAACAAGATGTGTTCGCAGTGCTTGTTCCCAGTTGTTGACAAATTTGGAACAAGTTGGTATCTTGTAACAAGATTGATGAGGCCACCAAACTCGCAACAAGTTTATCTAACAAGTCTGATATCGTCTGCACGTAACAAGTTGTTAACAAGTTGATGACAACAAGATTGTAGCAACTTGTCACGAACAGCCTGTATTAATCTTGTTGGAACAACTTGTAACAAAGTCAGTATGTTACAGTCATCAACATAGGGTTACACTGTTATATATCCATACCCCTGGTATGAGGAAGTGTGATGCGTTCGTTGCCATGTCAACCACCTCAACACGAATATGCTGTGTGCTCCACGAATGTACCATCATATCCCATGAATACCCGTAAAGTCCATTCGTCCACGCATTGTACCCCTACAAATATGAATAGAGAATTGATGGTGTACACGTACGTTTCACTAAGCACTATCTTGCAGCGGATGGTGGTCAACCTGCTGCAGTTATCAGAGTGAGAAAATAATGTCAATGAAATGTAATGAAAATAATTATTTTCATGCAAAGGATGCAAGGGTGCAGGGTTGTAGCGAAGTAGTTGTAGTTCGCTACTGTAGCGAACTACAATTTTCAAGTAGCCAGTAGTTTTTGACTACTTTTTTAAAACAGTAGCTGCAGTTATAGCGAACTACATTTTGCCTAAAAGTAGCCAAGTAGTTGACTACTTTTCAAACAGCGAACCGCTATTCGCTACTTTTTAAAATTGTTAGCAACTTGATAGAATAGCATGACATTGAGACACGGTTTGCTTAAAACCAATACTCATATAATAGTCAATTTACACTCCTGAACACTGTAGTGTTTACAAAAATGTTGCTTTGTGTTTACTGTTGCCTTGTGTTTACTGTTGCTACTCGTAAATCGATTTGTTATAGATGGCCATAGGTTACATTACAGCCTGAGTTAGTAGATGCTCTAAATACAGTAAAACTAAAAAATATAGTGTAGCGAAATAGCGAAATAGTTCGCTACATTTTTTAAGCAGTAGCTGTAGTCAGTAGCGAACTACCTTTTGTTCAAAAGTAGCAGTAGTTGTAGCTGACTACATATTCTTGAAGTAGCTGTAGTTATAACGAACTACAAAAATTTTGTAGTCAACCCACCCTTGAAAGGATGTTAATAAAACATACCTGTGTTATGAAATGTGACCAAGGCAAAAACAACTGCACCGCGACGTACACACTGGCTAAACCAATCAGAAACGTTTTCCTAATGTATACATAGCGCTCTTCGCATTCGTCAGCCCGTTGCTCGGTAACCGTATTGTCGTTCTCAGATCTCTCAGTGAATCGCACGTCCACTCTGGGATCATCACGAAGCGGTAGAAAGTACGCGAAACACGCGGGCATCACGCGAGACAAACGTCTCGGCCAATCGGAACGCAAGAAGAAGGGCATTGTGGCAAGCATCGTCCACGGGAACATCCCGATGTGAAACATTTGAGAATTCATAAGATGAAACATACTGCCAAAAAGCAGGCCTGCCGGGCGAGTCTTATCAAATAACAACAGAAATCCTTCGGACAGGTCGAAAATAAGTCCGCTGATGTGAACCATGTATAAATCGATGAATTCGTTGGACACAAGAAGACGAAAAGGATCGAAGACCCATTTTTTGGATAAACCTGTCATGGAGTATCCAGACATCCAGTCCATGTCTAATTTCTTTACTCCGGCGTAAAAGTACACCAAAAAAATCTAAAAGAATATTTGATCTTTAATTTTATTGAATGCAATTAGCATTTCTCAAGGCCGATTTTCCCGCCATTTTGGGGGTACTGCCTGGCCCACGTTTGAGAGTCTCCGCACGACGAAATACAACTTCTTAGTATTGTGATTGTTTGTATAATGGTAAATTTACAGTTACAACTTTTAAAAGTCGCTTTTCATGTTGTTTGAATTGTCTAGAATCTTTCACGAGGGCAGACAGTACCCCAAAAATGGCCGGATTTTGGTTTTCGTGAGAAAGGCTAATAGTTATAATTCCTGGATATCACCAACAACTCAAATAAGATGAGACAGACGATAGAAATTCAAAGGAATGTCTTTGGTCTTTATGTTCCTTTGAATGTCTATGGGCAGACATAAAATCTCGAAGCAAAAATTCTCTACATTATTAATTTAATTTATTTACCTGAAATTTTATAATCCAGTAATTCCATCTAGGTACGCACGTGTTTCTGATTGATTCGTTAAAATATCCGTCTAGTGACCTGGAGAAATGATTCAAGTAGAAAAAAGTGAACTTACGATGCTTATAGTAAAATCTTCCTGGTGCTCTAGACACTTCAAACGACAAATAATAGAAGTTGGGTGAATTGTTCTAACGAAGACACAATGAAGGACTGGATGGCATTGAGAACAGTGTGGGGACTATTATGGGAATGAAAAGACAATGAAGAGCATTTCGATCACTGGATCGTACGTGAATAGCAAATTCCTTAAAATCATCATTGATGGTTTCTTCTGCGTTTCTTCTATCTATCTATCTTCAAGAGTTTAACATTAGTGAAGGTTACAAGTTGGTGTTTTTTTGTACTTTTTATCACCAGTATCAGTTTCAAATTTCAATTCCTCAATAGTACTCTTTATATGCTTTATATCAGTAATCTCGGGGCCGGGGTAACTGGGCCGCGCTGACTTATTCACGTTCTTTACAAACGCCAGGCAAGGAAAAATTTTACGGTATCAGGCAATAAAGAGTAAATGATTATTCTTTCGACGCAAGAAAGAAAATATGAAACGAAAACGTTCAACGAAAATTTTGCCAAAAGAAAGTTCGAACCTGCCGTTTGCCGTTCCCGGAAACGTGAAGCTTAAACTCCCTATTATTTTATAACATTAACTTCGTTGATCGCGAAGCTAATAATAAATAAATAAAATTTGTCCAAAGGGCTACACACAATGACCTACCAATATCTATTGGCGTCAGTCATCAACAGCATTATAGATATGAGACCATAAAGATACGAATGATTATTCCACACAATTTTATCCAAGAAGAATATATACCAATATGTGATGATAAACATAACACAACTTGATCGGTAGCAACAACCTATTGCACGAAAATACATTTATTATTACTCCTGTACTTCAAAAATTCTTATCCGAGAACTCAATT